AAAAGAAGGATATACTCATTTTCGACTTAAAGATATCACAAACTGGTTAGAGAATCAGTATGATTACCAAATATATCGACACCCACCAAAGATTAAGGCCCAGGCTAGCTTTTCTAAATGCCGAATTCCTAATAAATTACATCAATGTGACCTACTCCCCCATGTCCACGATGATCAGAAAAGAGGAAAAATATATTTACACAGTTTGGTGCTGATAGACGTGGCAACTAGATATAAATGTGCAGTAGCATTAACATCAAAGACTAGCTCAGAGGTTTGGAACGTGATTAAAAAAATATACAATGATCCCAAAAATCCTCTCAAGTGGCCGGCGTTGTTGATGGTTGATGGTGCTGGTGAATTTAAAGGATCATTTGCGAAAGGAATGAAGCGATATAATGTTCCTATAAGAGTTGTTGATCTTTATAGCTTTGAGAGCTTAGCATTAGTTAAAAAATTCAAACAAGATTTGGCGAGACTTATATACAAAATTCAATATGCCATAGAGGGAAAACTCAAAGAAGGTGAACGCTCGAAATTATGGAACAAGATACTTCAGAAAATTATCGACTATATGAATAATAATAAAACTCGATTAATAGGCATGTCACCATCATATGCAATGTCATTGGGAGAAGTAATACCTAAAGTATCTACCAAACCTAAAAAACCTATTGGAAAGGATGAACCACAATTACAGAAGGGGCTCACAGTAAGATATCTATTAAAACCCGGTGAGCTAGAAGGAGGGCATATGCATAGAAAAACTGACCCGTGGTGGTCATTGCGTATCTATAAAATCAAAAAAGTTATTGTTGGTAAAAATCCACCACAGCCAGTCTTATACTATCTTGAGGATGAGCCAATTGATTCAACTAAACATTTAATAGGTCGTAATCCCAAAAGACCTTTTAAGAGAGAGGAGCTTCAAGTAATCGAGAATCCTGAAAAGGTTGAGTTCCCACCTGATAAGTTTATACAAAAATATCACCCCTCTAGATCGATACATTTCATTCGTGTTTCTAATAATGAATTTGACAGGGCACAACAATATGCTGGAAGACGTGGTGGAAGTATCTTAGCTAAAACTGGATGAATAAATAATCAGAATGTATTCTTCTGGACTTGTGAAAATGGACTGCATTAGCTTGAGTACCCGTTTCCATTGATTGCAACGAAATTTGAGTAGTGTCTACTTTGTTTTCACAATAAGAATGAGCGATGCTATAGATACATTTTTGAGGATTTATTAGATAAGAAGTTCTCACCATGTTCGGATAAATTTTTAAGTGGACTCAGACTTGATGGGTATAACGAGGAATTGCGTCTAGCATGGGAGTATCAAGGAGTACAACACTATCGATTAGTCCCAAAACACTTCTATCCTAATGGCGAGGCTGACCTAGATGCACAACGAAAGCGCGATCAAAAAAAGTGGGATATATGTAAAAGAGAAGGCATAAATCTCATCGAAGTCCCACATACGTGTGATTTGCTTTCATACATTCACACCACATTGATCGAAAAAGGTTATCTACCAAATACAGATATTGAATAATTACAGTTAATAAGGAATAAGACCCAGTTCTCGAAGGATAACTGGAATTTTCTCAAATGGGTCTTCATAATACCAAACATATCTTAATACTATCCAATTTTCTTCGCAGAGTTCTTCCTTGAGTTGATCCCGAGTTTACTGTTTCTCAAAATCTTCAAAATTTGGATGAAAGAATTTGATTTGACGTTCATGTTGTATACCTTGCACTTCAATCGCAAAGCCGTAATCATAGTATGGGATATCGAGTTCTAGTCCAGTTGAGTATTCTGGAGTTTTTAAGAAATCGGGTTTACAAATTGGCAAAGGTGGACCAAGATATTTGGTTATAATTTTGCGACATAAATCCTCATGTTTGTTTGAACAGAAAGGACACCAGGTGTGTTGATTTTTAATAGCATTGAGAGTAGCAGTAAATATATGGTTATTTTTACATCGCCATAGTAAAGCTGAGTGATTATTATAATAAATTGTAGATATGCAATCTCCATTTTGACTAATTGCAATTTGTCTAGCAACCTCGATACTATGACGAGCTACTTTTGCACATTTTGAGTACCAAGAGTTACTAATTTTGACATGATGCAAACTTGCAAGAAATTTATGTCCTTTAGAGCAATGCCATAATAAATGTGAATAACTATTAATATATTCTGTTGAAAGACATTTTCCATTTCGACTAATTGCAATTTGTCTAGTATCTTCAATAGTATGGGAAACTCTGTTTGCGCAATATGGGTACCACTGATTTTGATTTTTTATATTATTAAAGCGTGCATACCATTCATAATAATTTGAGCAACGCTATAACAAAACAGTTTTGCTATTTATATATTCGGTTGAAAGACATTCTCCATTTCGGGCAAAAGCAATTTGTTTGACATTCTCAATAGTACAGCGAGCCACTTTTGCACAATGTGGACACCATGACTTGCTATATTTTACATGACCAAGAGATGTGTGCCATTCATGATTATTCGAGCAACATCATAATAATGGATCTTTATTAGTAGTATATTGAGTAGAAAGATACTGTCCACCCCGATTTCTAGCAATTGTGCAAGCATCTTCTAAGGTTAATCTTTTTTTCATCATTTCTGATAATAATTAAGGATATTTAAATGATAATTCAACAGTACCTTTTTAACTAAAAAAAGTGAGAGATATGCAAGAAGCAAGGTATAGATCTGATTGAAATACCATTCGACTCAGATTTATATACATTTATAAAAAGTGAATTGCAAGAGAGAGGTTATTTATCGCATAAAGAATAAACACATAAGTATTACTTAGCTTGA